TGGGGCTACACTAGATGGCTGGGACTCATGAGCAGAAGCTTCCGCATCTCCTGAAGCTTTGCTCGTGAGTCCTAGTCATCTAGTTTAGCCCCAATCCTGACAGTGGCGGTAGTCGCCGGAAAACCACAAATTAGTTCGCCACAAGTGCGCAATTGACACGTGACTGAGACCCTGTTTTTGGCTGCCATAATATATGCCCGTTATTCGGGGGATACTCTCGGCGATGGCAGTAGTCGCCGGAAACCGCAAATTAGGTCGCCGGAAGTGCGCAGTTGACATGTGACTGAGGCCTTGTTAGGGTGTTTTTGCGGCTGCCATAATATGTGCCCGGGCTATCCTCCAAGTAACGGTCCTAAATTATTGAGGCGGAAAATATACCCTAACAGGGCCTCAGTCATGTGTCAATTGCGCTCTTCCGGGAACTATAACTCACTGCAGAATAGCCAACTTCCGCCACGGCAGAGAGTATCCCCCAGAGTATATGTCTGGACTCTAGGGTCAGAGAATGTCTGGACACTGTGGTCAGAGAATGTCTGGACACTGTGGTCAGAGAATGTCTGGACACTGGAGTCAGAGAATGTCTGGACACTGGGGTCAGATAATGTCTGGACACTGGGGTCAGAGAATTTCTGGACACTGGGGTCAGAGAATGTCTGGACACTGGGGTCAGAGAATGTCTGGACACTGGGGTCAGAGAATGTCTGGACACTGGGGTCAGAGAATGTCTGGACACTGGGGTCAGAGAATGTCTGGACACTGGGGTCAGAGAATGTGTGGACACTGGGGTCAGAGAATGTGTGGACACTGGGGTCAGAGAATGTCTGGACACTGGGGTCAGAGAATGTGTGGACACTGGGGTCAGAGAATGTCTGGACACTAGGGTCAGAGCGCACACATTTAGACAAGGTCATAGAATGTCTGGACATTGTTTTAGTAATTAAATATTAGTAAATAAACAGATGTTTTGTTTACAAAAATTAGTAAAATAAAATTTTAAAATTCCACTTACCAACATGGCACTGAAGAAAAACTGGTTAAAATGTATCCAAAATGAATCTCAAATGAATATGAACCACTTAGTAATGTATAAGTAAAATATAAACTCAATCTAAACATTAGATCTTGTTTCAGAGAATCTTTTGAAGCATCATAACAGAGAACCATTATTTGGGAAAGAAAACTGACTTCCCAAAACATTTAGTATTTTCACACAAAATGAAGTTTATATAACACTCAGTTTGCCTGTAATTTTGTAGCTATGTTCCTAAACAATAAGGGGAATAGCACTAGAGCTAAATGACACTGCAGAAAATCGTCTTTTCACTAATGTTTATTCTATTTGTGCCAGCTGACTTTGCTATTGTTGTACCATTCACATGAGGTACATATTAGACATATCCCTCATCAAAGTTTGACTCTATAAATGACTGAAACATGCCTAATTCACAACGTTATCCATCTAACTTCGGATAAATCTAAAAAAAACATGTACTTTATTTAAATTTGAGGCTTCTAAAGCCGTAAATCATGTTAACATGCATGTAGAATAGTGCCACAGTCCTCTCTTACTGTTTTCCTCATCCGTTGTACAGTTTTCCCATGTTGACTCTGACCCGCACATCACAGGCCAATCAGTGTAGAAGATTATGTCTTCCGAGTGTGAATGCTGATCTGTCAGTGCCCCTACCTCAGTATCTACAGCTGCAGGAATCTGAAACCTGCAGTAGCTGCCCAGTGTCATAAAAACCTTAGAAAGGTCATGCATGCCTACTGGGGAACAAAGAAGTTTTACCATATAGAGGACCAAAGGCTCAGGAAGGAACAAAGAAGTTTTACCGTATAGAGGACCAAAGGCTCAGGAAGGAACAAAGAAGTTTTACCGTATAGAGGACCAAAGGCTCAGGAAGGAACAAAAAAGTTTTACCGTATAGAGGACCAAAGGCTCAGGAAGGAACAAAAAAGTTTTACCATATAGAGGACCAAAGGCTCAGGAAGGAACAAAGAAGTTTTACCATATAGAGGACCAAAGGCTCAGGAAGGAACAAAAAAGTTTTACCATATAGAGGACCAAAGGCTCAGGAAGGAACAAAGAAGTTTTACCATATAGAGGACCAAAGGCTCAGGAAGGAACAAAGAAGTTTTACCATATAGAGGACCAAAGGCTCAGGAAGGTACAAAGAAGTTTTACCATATAGAGGGCCAAAGGCTCAGGAAGGAACAAAGAGGTTTTACCATATAGAGGACCAAAGGCTCAGGAAGGAACAGAGAAGTTTTACCATATAGAGGACCAAAGGCTCAGGAAGGTACAAAGAAGTTTTACCATATAGAGGGCCAAAGGCTCAGGAAGGAACAAAGAAGTTTTACCATATAGAGGACCAAAGGCTCAGGAAGGAACAAAGAAGTTTTACCATATAGAGGGCCAAAGGCTCAGGAAGGAACAAAGAAGTTTTACCATATAGAGGACCAAAGGCTCAGGAAGGAACAAAGAAGTTTTACCATATAGAGGACCAAAGGCTCAGGAAGGAACAAAGAAGTTTTACCATATAGAGGACCAAAGGCTCAGGAAGGAACAAAGAAGTTTTACCATATAGAGGGCCAAAGGCTCAGGAAGGAACAAAGAAGTTTTACCATATAGAGGACCAAAGGCTCAGGAAGGAACAAAGAAGTTTTACCATATAGAGGGCCAAAGGCTCAGGAAGGAACAAAGAAGTTTTACCATATAGAGGACCAAAGGCTCAGGAAGGAACAAAGAAGTTTTATCATATAGAGGACCAAAGGCTCAGGAAGGAACAAAGAAGTTTTACCATATAGAGGACCAAAGGCTCAGGAAGGACTAGAAATTTTAAATTTGATGGAGGAAAAAAAAATAATAATGTGGTAAACAGCATTCAGATGCATAAAGGTAACACAAATGTGCTCAAATGGGCAGTGCAAGAAAACTGAGGCTTGATTCCAGATCCAACAATAATGTACAGAGAAATCAGTGGTATATTTCACAGAAAAAAAAATTGTAGGATGTTTGAAATCAAGACGGAAGAGCTTTTCAAGAAAGAAAGTGCTGTGACAACAAGATGGAATTTTCTAATACAATGGGGAAAGAACAAATGAACAGAAGACAGCCACTGTGTTATGTGCCAGAAGTAATCAAGTCAGAAACAGACTATAGTTAGTCAAGATTTGTTTAGCTTAAACACAAGATTTGTTTAGCTGAAACAGACTATAGTTAGTCAAGATTTGTTTAGCTGAAACAGACTATAGTTAATCAAGATTTGTTTAGTTGAAACACAAGATTTGTTTAGCTGAAACACAAGATTTGTTTAGCTAAATCACAAGATTTGTTTAGCTGAAACAGACTACAGTTAGTCAAGATTTGTTTAGCTGAAACACAGGATTTGTTTAGCTGAATCACAAGAGAAGCTTTGAGACAACACGCAGTGACAAAAGGATGCGTTTACCCCGATCCGATTTTCAGCGAGAAAGGATGATCCACTCTGACCGGACATAGCAGCCACAGCGAGGAGCCAGGAATTTGTATGGTGCAACGAGTTTGGGCCATCTCTGCATCCCTGCCATTATTAGAGCTTAATTAACTGATGACTGTTTGTTTTATATCTACACTGTTTATGTGTGATAGAATGGTAAAAGTCAGCCAATAAGGGACTAATTAACAAGTCTCCGGGCACATAATACTCCGTCTTGTGACACATTCATCGAATCTGGACTCACTGTGATGGTGCAACTATACCAAGTGAAGGAGTCACTGATTTAATAATGTAAGGAAATATGTGAAATAACAAATAAACAGAAGAAAGTCATTGACGATGCAGCTAAGCTAAATGAAAAAGTCACTAATGTAATATTGTAATAAAGTGTGAAATAACAAATAAACAGAAGAAAGTCACTGTGATGATGCAGCTAAGCTAAATGAAGAAGTCACTAATGTAGTCGAATAAGGAAGTGTGTGAAATCAGAAATGGGCAGAAGATAGTCACTGTGACTATTTATGGTAGTGGGGAGAATAGGCTCTTGTATTTTTAGCTGGAATGCCTCCACAATGAATGCCCGTTAGCTGCTGAGAAAGGAGAGTGAGCACATGTGGGATGCCCTGAGTGCAGTGTTGTCAATTCTTGATTCATCCATTGATGTCTGCACCAGATAAAACATTGAAACCCATAAACAGATCTATTCAGTTGAGTTGTCTCTATAACATTGTGCTTTGCTTTGTGGCTGGCATTTGTCTCCAAGCCATAGTCATTTGGATCCCATCCTCAAATTCTGGAACTGTCTATTGTGTTGTCAAGTGCCAGGCCTACTGATCATTGAAGCTAAAGCTAAATGAGATGAACTGTTCGCTTCCCTTTATCCATGCCTTTCTTTGACAGTCAACAGAAATATGTGTATATAGAACAAACGCACGCACACGCACACACACACAGAAGCTCAATCCATTTAATGAATGAGTTATAACCATCAGCAAACAAAATCAGTGCAGATCTGTGTGTGTCTGTGCATGCATATCTGTGTCTATCCTACAATATATATATGTATATACATACTTGTATGTAACTTTGTGTGTGTATATCTCTGCTGCAGAATTAGTTGATGTCAACCTCACTGCTACAACATTAGTTGATTTCAGCATCACTGCTGCAACATTTCTTGATGTGAACATCACTGCTGCAACATTACTTGATGTGAACATCACTGCTACAGCATTACTTGATGTTAACATCACTGCAACATTAGTTGATGTTAGCATCACTGCTGCAACATTATGTGATGTGAACATCACTGCTACAACATTATGTGATGTGAGCATCACTGCTACATTAGTTGATGTCAGCATCACTGCTGCAGCATATGTGATGTGAACATGACTTCTACAACATAAGTTTATGTGAACATCACTTCTACAACATTAGTTGATATGAACAATCAATGTGTTGTCAGTCACTGCAGATGTCTGTTGTCTCCACAGATTGACTGTCCCTGGGGTAGTGATGATGATTCATCACTTTGAGATATGTGTACTGGTTTCTACCATCCTGCTGACTTTGCTGCCATGGCATGTGGTGTCTCAACATCAGAACCAGCCACACCATCAGCAGCAGCATCATCAGCCAGCCCAAGCTGGCCATGGGCATCATGGAAAACCACTAGAGTTTGCTTCAGAAATCCACAATGCTGAGTGAGTAACCAGTCTGTGTCCTGATATCTGACCCTCTGTGTTAAATGTTCCATCTATGTCAAGAGGCAACATCCATAGTGTTGAAGAAATTGTGTCAAATCTACATCCGGATGTCTCTCACACAGTGTTGAAGAAATGTCCAGTCTACATCCAGGTGTTCATCCACAGTGTTGAAGAAATGATCAGTCTACATCCAGGTGTTCATCCACAGTGTTGAATAAATGTCCAGTTTACCTCCAGATGTCTCTTCCACAGTGTTGAATAAATGATTTCCAGTCTACATCCACATATCTCATCCACACTGTTGAGTAGTGTCTTTTTCTCTCAACTCAGTGTCCAGGAAATATGGCTGGTGACAGTAAGGCTAGATAGAGATAAACTGGGTGTTGACAACAAAGGTAGACAGAGATAAACTGGACTGTGACACCAAGATTAGAGATAAACTGGGCTGTGACAGCAAGGCTAGATAGAGATAAACTGGGCTGTGACACCAAGATTAGAGATAAACTGGGCTGTGACAGCAAGGCTAGATAGAGATAAACTGGGCTGTGCCAACAAGGCTAGATAGAGATAACCTGGGCTGTGACAGCAAGGCTAGAGATAAACTGGGCTGTGACAGCAAGGCTAGATAGAGATAAACTGGGCTGTGACAGCAAGGCTAGATAGAGATAAACTGGGCTGTGACAGCAAGGCTAGAGATAAACTGGGCTGTGACAGCAAGGCTAGATAGAGATAAACTGGACTGTGACAGCAAGGCTAGATAAAGATAAACTGGGCTGTGACAGCAAGGCTAGATAGAGATAAACTGGACTGTGACAGCAAGATTAGAGATAAACTGGGCTGTGACAGGAAGGCTAGATAGAGATAAACTAGGCTGTGACAGCAAGGCTAGATAGAGATAAACTAGGCTGTGACAGCAAGGCTAGATAGAGATAAACTGGGCTGTGACAGCAAGGCTAGATAGAGATAAACTGGGCTGTGACAGCAAGGCTAGATAGAGAAAAACTAGGCTGTGACAGCAAGGCTAGATAGAGATAAACTGGGCTGTGACAGCAAGGCTAGATAGAGATAAACTGGGCTGTGACAACAAGATTAGAGATAAACTGGGCTGTGACACCAAGATTAGAGATAAACTGGGCTGTGACAGCAAGGCTAGATAGAGATAAACTGGGCTGTGACAGCAAGTGTGGACAGACAGACTGGGCTGTGTCAGCAATGTTAGATAGAGATGTGGCCAAGTGGATGGTTGTCTATATGACTGACCATGTAGCTGTCTATGTGACTGATTGTGTGGTTGTCTAAGTGGCTGACTGTGTAGCTATGTGACTGTCTGTGTGGTTGTCTATGTGACTGATTGTTTGTTTGTCTGTGTGACTGGTTGTCTGTGTGACTGATTAGCCATCTGTGTGGTTGTCTGTGTACCTTAGTGTGTAGTTGTTTGTTTAATTGACTGTGTGGGTAATCGTATGGTTGTCTATTTAGCTGACTGTGTGACTGACTGTTTTGCTGAGTATGTGGCGTCATTGTGGCTTACTGTGTGGTTGTGTTATTGATGTGCTTACTGCACTACCAAACTCTAGCACCTCCACACAGGAAATAGATGAGAAGTACGCGCTATGGCTGGCATGCAAGTCTCATGGCAGGTCATCTATCAACACACAGCAACACGAAAGCCATCTATCAACACACAGCAACACGAAAGCCATCTATCAACACACAGCAACAAGAAAGCCATCTATCAACACACAGCAACACGAAAGCTGTCTATCAACACACAGCAACAAGAAAGCCATCTATCAACACACAGCAACAAGAAAGCCATCTATCAACACACAGCAACAAGAAAGCCATCTATCAACACACAGCAACACGAAAGCTGTCTATCAACACACAGCAACACGAAAGCTGTCTATCAACACACAGCAACAAGAAAGCCATCTATCAACACACAGCAACGCGAAAGCTGTCTATCAACACACAGCAACATGAAAGCTGTCTATCAACACACAGCAACACGAAAGTCGTCTATCAACACACAGCAACACGAAAGCCATCTATCAACACACAGCAACACGAAAGCTGTCTATCAACACACAGCAACAAGAAAGCCATCTATCAACACACAGCAACACGAAAGCTGTCTATCAACACACAGCAACACGAAAGCCATCTATCAACACACAGCAACACGAAAGCCATCTATCAACACACAGCAACAGGAAAGCTGTCTATCAACACACAGCAACAGGAAAGCTGTCTATCAACACACAGCAACAGGAAAGCCATCTATCAACACACAGCAACAGGAAAGCTGTCTATCAACACACAGCAACATGAAAGCTGTCTATCAACACACAGCAACATGAAAGCTGTCTATCAACACACAGCAACAGGAAAGCTGTCTATCAACACACAGCAACACGAAAGCCATCTATCAACACACAGAAACACGAAAGCCGTCTATCAACACACAGCAACACGAAAGCCATCTATCAACACACAGCAACACGAAAGCTGTCTATCAACACACAGCAACACGAAAGCCATCTATCAACACACAGCAACAAGAAAGCCATCTATCAACACACAGCAACACGAAAGCCGTCTATCAACACACAGCAACACGAAAGCTGTCTATCAACACACAGCAACAAGAAAGCCATCTATCAACACACAGCAACACGAAAGCCGTCTATCAACACACAGCAACACGAAAGCTGTCTATCAACACACAGCAACACGAAAGCTGTCTATCAACACACAGCAACACGAAAGCCGTCTATCAACACACAGCAACACGAAAGCTGTCTATCAACACACAGCAACACGAAAGCCGTCTATCAACACACAGCAACACGAAAGCTGTCTATCAACACACAGCAACACGAAAGCCATCTATCAACACACAGCAACACGAAAGCTGTCTATCAACACACAGCAACAAGAAAGCCATCTATCAACACACAGCAACACGAAAGCTGTCTGTCAACACACAGCAACAAGAAAGCCATCTATCAACACACAGCAACACGAAAGCTGTCTATCAACACACAGCAACAAGAAAGCCATCTATCAACACACAGCAACACGAAAGCTGTCTGTCGACACATAGCAACACGAAAGCTGTCTATCAACACACAGCAACATGAAAGCTGTCTATCAACACACAGCAACACGAAAGCTATCTATCAACACACAGCAACACGAAAGCTGTCTGTCGACACATAGCAACACGAAAGCTGTCTATCAACACACAGCAACATGAAAGCTGTCTATCAACACACAGCAACACGAAAGCTATCTATCAACACACAGCAACACGAAAGCTGTCTATCAACACACAGCAACACGAAAGCTGTCTATCAACACACAGCAACACGAAAGCTATCTATCAACACACAGCAACACGAAAGCTGTCTATCAACACACAGCAACACGAAAGCTGTCTATCAACACACAGCAACACGAAAGCTATCTATCAACACATAGCAACATGAAAGCTATCTATCAACACATAGCAACATGAAAGCTATCTATCAACACACAGCAACACGAAAGCTATCTATCAACACACAGCAACATGAAAGCCGTCTATCAACACACAGCAACACGAAAGCTATCAACACACAGCAACAGGAAAGCTGCATATTATCACACAGCAACACGAAAACCGCATATCAACACACAGCAACATGAAAGCCGTCTATCAACACATAGCAACACGAAAGCTATCAACACACAGCAACAGGAAAGCTGCATATTATCACACAGCAACACGAAAGCTATCAACACACAGCAACAGGAAAGCTGCATATTAGCAGACATCATGTGCACAGAGACTGTCAATTAGTGTGTAGTTTATGGGGATAATTGTTTATCTCGTGCACACATTTTCAGGTGGTATTCACAATTCAAAAGTAGTGTGGAAATAATATTGTCTCCCTGTGATTATTTCCTATTCCTAAAATTAAAGTTACGATTGAAAGGACGCTTCTTTAACGATATTGATGACAGCCAAAGGGCCGCAACATCGACTTTAAGGGCCTTAAAAACAGAACTACAGAGGTTGTTCCAGTGTTTGTTAGATCTGCCACTTGCAGTATCAATGCACAAGGGGCTTACTTTGAATCAGATACAGGTTATATCTTCAACTATTGATTATTTTAATTTTTATGGAATTAGTCTCATTACTTAATTGTTTGACCTTGTATGTTATTCAATCATGACTTATTCATATGCAGACCACTGGTTCCTTGCCTCTCAGGCAAATGCATTCCGGCTTAGAAGAAAGCCACAATGAGTCGACTCTTACGACATGCACTAATATTAATCCTCAACCAATTGTGTTCATTTTTATGAATCATCTTCTGCTTTGCGATCACTGACTGTAAACTCTGGCAGAAACTTTTGTTGTTCATCTACTTCTTATGAATATTTGCAATTGCATGGCCTGTGGTCATTTGTTAAATTGTTTTCTGCTTTGCGATCACTGGCTGTAAACTCCCACAGAAACTTCTGTTTGTTCAACTACTTCTTATGAATATTTGCAGTTGTTTGGTATGTGTTCATTTTTGTGAATCATCTTCTGCTTCTCGATCACTGGTAGTAAACTTTTGGTTGTTCATCTACTTCTTATGTGTATTTGTAGTTGTATAGTCTGTGTTCATTTTTGTGAAACATGTTATGCTTTGCAGAAATAATGTACCATTCATGATACTAATACGCGTTGTTGCATGCAGTATTCAGAATTATGTGTGATGTATTTTTAAACAGTTACCAAAAAATTCACAATGATAAGGAACTGATTTATCCAGCAAGATGAAACTGGACAAATTTGTTTGTGCTGTTTGTACCTTGAGGATAAATATTTTGTAGTGCTATAAGTACTGTTAAGAAAACTTCTCTAGGTGAAAATTTTTTTGCACATATCGATTTCATATTGACTCTGCTTGTTTACTAATTGTTAATTAGCAGTAAAATTATATGTTGTAGTAGTCTACTAATAGTGCAATAATTTTTCGCCCAGAGCAGTCGATTTGTAATACGAATACATTCAGAACACAGAACTTTGTAAGCACACTAAAATGTCACATGATGCAACACATGGAAAGGGCTTCCAGTTACCAGTTTCCAAGGGACTCCTTTCAAAAAGTTGTCAGGCACTATTAGAGACTGCGTTGATTTGCAATAACAGAAGAACAATAGTAGATCTAAAAGGCTGCTCACGTAACTTCCAGCCCACCACAACCTACTTGGGAAGCTTTAACGTCACTACCCACACTTGGCACATCTGGTTGCCTCTAGTGTTCTAATAGCAATCCTCTAAAACAAACTCCCTGTCTGGGCGCCAGTACTGCAATGTTCGGCGCGTACCGCCATACGACAGCGCTAGGATAGATCAGTTCACTGAGTTGAACGTATTGGCACTAGATCATTATCCGCCCAATTCTACTAATTGTCTCCTTCTCCAAGATAACTGTCACTCGGTGCAAGTCTGTATCCCTGGGTGGCACTATAACCCATTCCTGGCCACGCGTTATCGTCAGTAGTACAAATAGTTCTGATCGTGACTTCTTCCTGTGCCATTTAGGAGCTACCCCTTTTCAACCGATGACCCTTGCCGTCCCCCATGGCCACATGTAGAAGGTGTTCGCTGTCCGCTGCGACTTTGGTGTACATTGTCGCCTGTAACACTTTGTATCATTCATATAAGGACGACAATGCAAGAATGTGCCGCATGCACACAATTGTCATGATCCGTGTACATCCCAAAATACCTGGCATGGCTTCATTTTGCATGCGTTCCAGCTTCTCTGGTTAGTTGTTAGAGCAAGCCCAACCCATACTCCATCACAGAAATAATCAGTTGCTGGTCGAGTGTGTAGAGCATTCTCTGTTCCATGTCCACTGATGCCGTCACGTTCAAATATTGAGTCCTTGCTACAACACTAACTCTCGCACCTGCTACTTGAACGACAGGCTCCTATCAACAGTTATGCCAGGCTTATGCTACAACTTCAACTCCAGTTAATCAACAAAAAAGCTCAGACTTAAACTATTTTTTTTTAATCAAGCATTCTCAAATGCTCATTGTAACAAGCCAAATAAACACATCCCCGTCAAACAGAATAACACAGAGTGACAGTTAACTTAGAGAAGGAGACGATTACTAGAATTGTGGCGGTTAATGGAAGCTGTAGAGAGCAGATTCCTGGCAATGTTGACACTTTAGTCAGAACTGATTGATGAAAACACAGATGAAGGTGATGATATAGTTTACTCAGATGGGTCAGTCATTAGGGGCCAGCGAAGTGCATAGGCCTTCACAGTAAGCTCAAGGCGGAAAACCATCAAGGAGATGAATGGCGCCTTTGCTGTTACAACTAGTAGCCTTACAATGGAAACTATGGCTGTAACAAGGGCTTTTGCATGGTTTGGTACTCAAAAGTTAAGACACGTATGCATTCTTAGTGACTTGATGAATATGCTTTAAAAATCCAAGCTGAATTGATCAGGCAAGAATGGATTGAAACAGTAAATACTTCACGAATATCTGACCTAACCTTCATCTTTGTGCCAGGTTATGCGGGTGTTCAAGGAAACGAGCGTGCAGACTATCTTGCTGACACTGAAGTTGCTATGACTGGTTCAGTACTGGACAGAAGTGATGTTATCATTGCCATGCGCTGCACTTGCCGTACCGAGGAGCACGCCAAAGGACATGACTCCATATCCTTGTCTAGACTGATGGACATGGGGGTGCAGCCTGAAGCTGCAAGAAATGAACATTTCACTAAGGGGACAAGACGTTTCATTAACCAGCACAGAACAGGCGTCATCAGTCGTTTTACACCTGTGGAGCTTTTGAGGAGATTGGAGCACCTATGGATCTTCCGGAGTGCTGAAATGATAATCCTTTATAATCACTGATCAAATCACTAAATAAACACGATAAGCTTTTTTATTCACTTTATTCAAACTTTTATTCGCTTTCAGTGTTGAAAAATATGTGGTCAGTCGTGGGTCAGCTGACCAGCGTCCATGTGCCGTGAACTCTGGGTCAGCTGACCAGCGTCCATGTCCCGTGAACTCTGGGTCAGCTGACCAACGTCCATGTCCCGTGAACTCTGGGTCAGCTGGTGCTTTCCGCTGACCAGCGTCCATGTCCCATAAACTCTGGGTCCGCTGACCAACGTCCATGTCCCGTGAACTCTGGGTCAGCTGGTGCTTTCCGCTGACCAGCGTCCATGTCCAGTAAACTCTGGGTCAGCTGACCAGCGTCCATGTCCCGTAAACTCTGGGTCCGCTGACCAACGTCCATGTCCCGTAAACTCTGGGTCAGCTGACCAACGTCCATGTCCCGTGAACTCTGGGTCAGCTGACCAGCGTCCATGTCCCGTGAACTCTGGGTCAGCTGACCAGCGTCCATGTCCCGTGAACTCTGGGTCAGCTGGTGCTTGTCAGCCAAACAGTAGCTTGTCACTGTCATCATACGCACACACACATAGCCACACAGTACCCTGACAAGTTGCCTGTGTGAATGACTGTTTTGCTGAGATGGTTGTCTGTGAATGACTTTTGTTGAGTGTGTGGTTGACTGTCTGCCCTCAGCCATATCCTGGAGCACCTACAAAGTGTGGTGTCCACCAAGAGCAAGGAGCAGATGACCGAGGAGGAGCTGGAGTTTCACTACTTCAAGCTGCACGACTACGACAACAACAACAAGCTGGACGGGGTGGAGATCGGCAAGGCATTGACCCACATCCACGAAGGTCAGTACGTGGATGCTTGATCGATATAACACTCAAACAGTATTGACACCTCAGAACTGTCTGTGCATGCCCTTAACACAATCTCCACTCATAATTGTATTTGTGCATCTTGTTTCACCTGTAGATTCACCTGGGCGTAAATTCTTTACCTTTTGTTTCATCTGAGAATATGTTCACATGTTCTGTTGTCTGTGAGTATGTTCGTCTATTCTGTTGTCTGAGAGTATGTTCTGTTGTCTGAGAGTATGTTCACATGTTCTGTTGTCTGAGAGTATGTTCTGTTGTCTGAGAGTATGTTCTGTTGTCTGAGAGGATGTTCTGTTGTCTGAGAGTATGTTCTGTTGTCTGAGAGTATGTTCTGTTGTCTGAGAGTATGTTCACATGTTCTGTTGTCTGAGAGTATGTTCTGTTGTCTGAGAGTATGTTCTGTTGTCTGAGAGGATGTTCTGTTGACTGAGAGTATGTTCTGTTGTCTTAAAGTATGTTCTGTTGTCTGAGAGTATGTTCTGTTGTCTGAAAGTATGTTCTGTTGTCTGAAAGTATGTACTGTTGTCTGAGAGTATGTTCTGTTGTCTGAGAGTATGTTCTGTTGTCTTAAAGTATGTTCTGTTGTCTGAGAGTATCTTCTGTTGTCTGAGAATATGTTCTGTTGTCTGAAAGTATGTTCTGTTGTCTGAAAGTATGTTATGTTGTCTGAGAGTATGTTCTGTTGTCTGAAAGTATGTTCTGTTGTCTGAGAGTATGTTCTGTTGTCTGAGAGTATGTTCACCTGTTCTGTTGTCTGAAAGTATGTTCTGTTGTCTGAGAGTATGTTCACCTAAGAGTAAATTGACGTGTCGTTTTACCTGGGAGTCTGTTCACCTGAGAGAGCGAGAGAGAGAGTGTATGTAATGATGCTGAGACAAAAACAAGTAGCGAAAAGACAACAACAAAAAGAGGGTAAAACTAGTGTCGGCTGGGCGGCGTCTCAATGTTGCCAGATCACAGATGAATGGTGCCTGTTTGGGTGACATGATGTGTATCATGGGTGCCATTTTGTCCAAACCCCCCCCCCCCCCTCCTTTTCCCACCACCATAATAACAAGAAGAAAAAAGACGCGCAAGAACATGTCGGATAGTTTGGGCGGGGCAGGAAGGGCATGCAAGAACTTTTGTGATAATTATACTCAAGCCAGACAGGCAGAAAGGGGCTTGGCAGAATACCTGTGAGATGGGGAGGTGACAGCAAGCATTTCTTTGTGAGAGAGAGAGAGAGAGATGTTAAACGTAAGGGGAGAAGAAATGAGGCGCACATAAAACCTTTAAAAAACAAACGCTGCAGAGGTGAAGACGGCACGTGATCTGATGAGGACGTAGTTATGTCTGGAGGAGGAGGATGGCGCAAGCTTGCACACACAAGTACACCCCTTCTCGATACAGATAGGGTCTGCTGGGATAGCCAAGTGCCATCTTGTGCCAGCTATGACAAGAAGTGCCCATATTCCACTGGATGTAGCCGGGGTACAGAGGCGCTGACGCACTGTGGCTCACAGATTATTGCAAATGTTGAAAGTGCATGCATTTATATTTAAATTGGAGGCAGCCAAGAGGCTGGCCCGTGGAGCATTAGCGTGACTGACTAGAGCGGCCAGAGAAGAAACTCCAGACATGGCCGTGCTGGCGAGGCCTTTTTGTCGTTCTCTGCCACAATCTCCGCCCGTAATTCTATTAACTGAAATGTCAGATCCGGATTTGGCCAGGAGAATAGCTGCGCTGCTGGGATGGCGGGGCTGGAGAGAAGAAGGGGGGGGGGGGGGGATTCTGTATCTGGGGCCCTGGCTCAGTGTTGGAGAAGATGTTCCCTGCCTCATCCGGGGCTCGGTACCGCTATACTGACTGGATTACCCAGCAGTGGTTTCTGTCAACAGCGCCGTTGTTCAAGTCAGGCACTCTTTCCCCCCGCCTTCGGCCGTACTGGGCATGTAAGGCTAGACCTGTATTTGATAGACTAGTCAACATTCGATTGGTGCATCACCCCGGTCGCCTTTACTTCCCAGACCTATACCGGGTACCCATTAAAGGCTGGGTTAACCATGAAGCCCAGGTCTTTTTTTGTTGTTGAAAAAGTCCAGTTCCGTTCGCATTCACATGCGAGCTTCAAGCCACTACACTACGATGGCTCCTGCCCTGTTAGTTACAGTTGTTAGGTGAACATGGTACAGACATCCACAGTAAACACGGGAGAGATATCCACGGTGAACACGGGAGAGACATCCACAGTAAACACGGGAGAGATATTCACAGTAAACACGGGAGAGATATCCACGGTGAACACAAGAGAGACATCCACAGTAAACACGGGAGAGATATTCACAGTAAACACGGGAGAGATATCCACAGTAAACACGGGAGAGATATTCACAGTAAACACGGGAGAGATATTCACAGTAAACACGGGAGAGACATTCACAGTAAACATGGGAGAGATATTCACAGTAAACACGGAAGAGACATTCACAGTAAACACGGGAGAGATATTCACAGTAAACACGGGAGAGATATCCACGGTGAACACGGGAGAGACATCCACAGTAAACACGGGAGAGATATTCACAGTAAACACGGGAGAGATATCCACAGTAAACACGGGAGAGATATTCACAGTAAACACGGGAGAGATATTCACAGTAAACACGGGAGAGACATTCACAGTAAACATGGGAGAGATATTCACAGTAAACACGGAAGAGACATTCACAGTAAACACGGGAGAGATATTCACAGTAAACACGGGAGAGATATTCACAGTAAACACGGGAGAGATATTCACGGTAAACACGGGAGAGATATTCACAGTAAACACGGGAGAGACATTCACGGTAAACACGGGAGAGACATTCACAGTAAACACGGGAGAGATATTCACAGTGAACACGGGAGAGACATTCACAGTGAACACGGTAGAGACATCTACAGTGAACACGGTAGAGACATCCACAGTAAACACGGGAGAGACATTCACAGTGAACACGGGAGAGACATCCACAGTAAACACGGGAGAGACATTCACAGTGAACACGGGAGAGACATCTACAATGAACACAGTAGAGACATCCATAGTGAACACGGTAGAGACATCCACAGCGAATACGGGAGAGATATCCACAGTGAACACGGGAGAGACATCCACAGTGAATACGGGAGAGATATCCACAGCGAACACGGGAGAGATATCCACAGTGAACACGGGAGAGATATTCACAGTGAACAGGGGAGAGATATCCACAGTAAACACGGTAGAGATATCCACAGTAAACAGGGTAGAGATATCCACAGTAAACAGGGTAGAGACATCCACAGTAAACACGGTAGAGATATCCACAGTAAACACGGTAGAGATATCCACAGTGAACACGGTAGAGACATCCACAGTAAACACGGTAGAGACATCCACAGTAAACACGGTAGAGACATCCACAGTAAACACGGTAGAGACATCCACAGTAAACACGGTAGAGACATCCACAGTGAACACGGTAGAGACATCCACAGTAAACGTGATACATGTCTGTGTATGTGTTGTATGTTTGTGTATGTATGTAGAAGCGTTTGTGTATGTCTTACGTATGTGTGTATATGAGTGTGCATGTATGAGAACGTAGGAGTATTTATACGTGTGTGTGAGTGTATACGATTGTGGTAACATTATGGTGTGTATGCATTATTCTATAATTTATATTTCTTTATTATATCCATAACATGCATTGTAGATAACAGGCATTGGTACTCTGAAACACGAGGGCTTAGAAGGGCCGAATGTCAGACGGTTAGATAACAGGCATTGGTACTCTGAAAAATGAGTGCTTAGAAGGGCCGAATGTCAGATGGGCCTGCATGCCCAATTTGTAACCCATTGAAAATAAAGTTTGTTGGTTGGTTGGTTCTCTGTCCAGGGCTTGTATTAAGCGTCATTGACTATGGTCTAGGCTTTCTCACGGTCAGCAGAAGCCATCAAGAAAGACTGGACCGAGTACAAATTGAGGCTATGAGACTCATACTCGAATGCACAAAAGACACTTCAACACCTTGCGATGAGTCCTGGGTTTGCTGACGTTGGCTAACAGACACAGAGTCGCACAGGTAAAGGCGTACAAGGGGTTATCGGCAGACGTTAACCACCCACTGCACAAATGTATACACGACACAGAAATAGGCTGCTCCTGAATGGCCAAGATTGACTCCAGCAGGTTTGTGACCTAGACGAGATTAGTCGCGGAAAAGAACAGACAAATACACCGATAGACATGTGTGGCATCTCTAAGGTTATGATCACACTGAGAAGGTACTGCAGGGTTGGATACCTGCTGCCGTAGACACAGAGGTAAGGGAACTGATAGATCAGCATTCCCACCTAGAAGATATCATCTGCACAGATAGATCCTTGAAGCGGAGATCAAGGTCACATGGGCATACACAGCGCAAAGAATGGGGAAAACAATACAGGAGGACAGTGAAGCTTATCAGGCAACCACATCAAGCGTGACCACGGAGATAGCCTTTCGTCTAAGGCACTAGCTTGGGCATCAAAGCAAAGAGACGCACAGGCAGTCATTGTATCAGACTCCATGAACATGCTTCAGAAGATAGCAACAGGCCGTATGCGCTCTGAATGGGTAGAAAGCACTTGAAAATCGCACTTAACCTGTTTATGCGGGCGTAATGGGTAATGAGCGAGCGAACCAACTGGCAAACAATGCACCAACTTATGTGGAAAGAAGCATGGCCAGAGCAGATATCGTTAACGCTGACGAATCTCTGACACTAATACGATTGCGTGACATTGGAGTGAAGCATCTGAAGGACATCTGTGCCGCCTTTGAGGCCGAGATAGCAGACACTGTAACCAACTTCTCATTAGAACAGTTAGTAGAGGTACCTTGGGCTGGCTGCTACGTCGAAGAACTGAGCACGCATGGGATGCCCACTGTGCAGTGACGTCGATTAATATAACATTAGCTGCT